CAGGTGCTTGGAAGTCGTACATATCATTATCTGGGATAGACTGACCACATGAAGTTGTTCACAAAATGCATTTTGGTGGTCCGACAACTGGAGTGCAAACAAACCACTGGAAATAATATAGAATTGTCTCCAAATGTTTCTAAGACCTATAGCAACATCACTAGGGGATATGATATGGTGTCATACGGATAAACGGCAATACAACGGCACAGTTTCGACGATAAACCTACTGAAGATCAAGATATATTTATTCCTCATACAAAACTGATCTATGGATTGTAAATAAGATACCTTTTTCCGTAATAATTTCGTTGTCATTCAAATACCACGGCGATTATCCTCGGAGAAACTGCGTGCTGTAAAAACCGAGTTTGAACACATGCTTGAAATGGGAATAATCAGACCATCCAACAGCCCACTGTCTTCACTCTTGCATGTGGTACCGAAGAACAATGGCATGGACTGGAGGCCTTGTAGTGACTACCGAAGGTACAACGCTAAAACGATTCCAGATCTTTACCCAGTCCCTCACATACACAACTTGACTGCATCTTTAAAAGGTTCGTTTATCTTTAGTAAACTTAACTTGACGCGCGCATATCACCAGATCCCAGTTCATCCTGATGATGTTCACAAAACAGCTGTCATTACACCGTTCGGTCTTTTTGAGTTCCTTCGCATACCCTTTGGTCTTCGCAATGCAGCACAAACCTTCCAACGTTTTATTCACAATGTTTTACGTAAACTAGACTTCGCCTATGGTTATTTAGACGACATACTAATCGCTAGCCCAGACAAAGACACTTATTCCAACCACTTGAAACAGGTTTTCGCCAGACTGTCAGAGCATTCGATGACAGTCAACCTGGCCAAATGCCAGATTGGCGTTCGTTCACTAAAATTTTTGGGGCACGTTATTGACGAGCAAGGCATTCGCCCACTACCTGAAGAGGTACAGGCGATCCAGGACTTCCCAGTCCCAGGGTCACTTAAAGCTCTGCGTACGTTTCTGGAGATGGTGAGCCATTATCTTCGCTTCGTCCCCCAGTGTGCTCACATTTTGATTGCATTGACCGACCTGCTGAAAAGTAAATGTAAAACTTTCAGCATGACTCCTGGGACACTAGATGCATTTCGCAAGATCAAAACTGCAACAGCAGACGCCACGATACTGGTGCATCAGGACGTAAACCTACCTCTTAGCATTGCGGTTGAGGCCTCTAACACGGCCATTGGAACTGTGTTGCAACAACCTACGGATCACGCATCTCAATTGCATTCTTCTCCCGGAGGTTATCCACCTGCGAAATGCAGTACAGCACTTTTGCTCGCCATATATGCCCCAGTTAAGCATTTTCGTCACTTTGTGGAAGGTCATGATTTCATTATCTTTACCGACCACAAACCTTTGACATATGCCTTACACACCACTACTGACAGATATTCACCGCCTGGATTACGTCATCTAGACTGTATTTCGCAATTCATGTCGGACATCCGTCACATTTCTGGTGTGAATAACCCTGTCTCAGACACACTGTCTCTCATTTGCACCACTACTACTGCTCGAGCGGTTGATTGCTGAACTTCAGGATCCAGACGAGGAGATTAAAAAACTTCAACACTCAACCTCTCTGAAGATACAGCTTTTACCGCTCCTGAACAGTGAAGTGACAATATTATGCGGCATCTCCACAGGCACACCCAGACTAGTTGTTTCTTTACCCTTGCGTAAGCACGTTTTTGATGCTTTGCACAGTCTTTCGCATCCTGGTATCCATGCCACTGTCAAACTCATATCTGCTAGGTTTGTATGGCCTGGTATTAACCGTGATGTTGGAAACTGGACACGGTCATGTATTCAGTGCCAACGTTCCAAGGTGAATCGTCACAATATTCCATCACTTGGGACTTTCGCCAAACCGGATTCACGATTCGCCCATGTCCATTTAGACATTGTCGGCCCACTTCCACCCTCCTACCTAATGACATGTGTCGATAGGTTTACTCGCCGGCCGGGAGCCATCCCATTGTCTAACATTACTGCCGAAACAGTAAGTTGGATCTTCGTCGAAGGATGAGTTTCACAGTTTGGATGCCCTTCCACCGTGACAACCGACAGAGGCTAACAGTTCGAATCCGTTACCTTCCAGAAGCTGATGAGTCTGTTAGGATGCAAACGCATCCGCACTACTGCATATCATCCAGCTTCCAATGGTTTGGTGGAACGATTCCATCGACATCTTTAGAGCGCACTAATGGCAGTCGACAATATGGAGTGGACCGAGTGTCTGCCGTTGGTTCTTCTCAGCATTCGTTCTACACTTAAGACAGATATACAGTGTACTCCTTCTGAGTTAGTTTACGGCTGTAACTTACGTTTGCCGGGTGAAATGGTCGCTTCAGATTGTAGTGACCCAACTCCTACCGATATTCATGGCTGTGCGCAAACTCTTAAGCTTCACATGCGTCACCTCCAACCCCCATCCACACGGATACAGTGTAGACGGGTGCAGTTGGATAAAAGACTCCAAGATTGCACTCATGTCTTTGTGCGTTGTGATGGTGTGCGTAAACCCTTACAGCCACCATAAGACGGACATTTCAAGGTTCTCTGCAAAAAAAAAAAGTTTTTCGTCTTTGAAAGATCTGGACAGCATGATTCCATAAGTGTCGATCGTTTAAAGGTAGCTTATATAGAGGACGACCCACCTTCCTCTACACCGACACAACTAGAAAAACCCTTGCCACCAGACTCCCAGACAGACTCCTCTAGTCGTGAGCACCTCGAATCTTCTAAAAAAGCCACCCCTAGTAGCACTGATCCAGTACCCTCTCCATGTGCTGGGAGGCGTGTACATTGGCCTAAACGATACACCGAATTCGTTAATTAACCCCAGCGCTAATTCACACTTGGCAAATTCGGAGTTTCAACTATTTTATCCTTGCACGCACTATCAATGCGTTTTCATATCTACAGTTTTCACAAGTTTTGTTAACTACTTTGAAAACAAAGTTTTTTTAATAAAAAAAAACTTAAAAATACGTGAAGAATTTCAAAAAAGTTTCCTTTTGGTTGGTCATTATTTTTTTCTGTACCTCCCCCACTTCGATTTGTTTGGTTTTTCTTTCCTTAGCACTCTAATGTTCTATTCCTTTCCACTTGCAGAGCCTAGAAAATGCGTTGAAAATTGGATACAATTGGCCACTGATGATGCTACTTGGATTCTCTTTGTACCAATTTCCCCTTGTAAAATCCCCGGTTGATTAAGAAGCAATAGGGAAAAGTAGACAGAGGCTTTAAGTTATTTTCCACCACTGCGAGAAGGGTTGCGACTAAACGCACAGTTCTCTTACCTCGTAGATGTGCATAGTTGCACTAGCATCGGAGACCCACACAACACCTACAACATCACCAATATAGAAAGGTGTTGCGCGACCACCTCCTACGATCCAAGGTTGCCGGTATCCCAACAACCTACTACGACGGCGATAACCTATAGTTCACCGACCTGGCACCAAAATACAACGAGGGCTAAAATAAATAGATTAAATTAACTAAATAAACCTCTAGGTCGCTTCCGGATGCTTTACGTGTTTTAAGTTTTGTTTTAACGAGCATGCATCTGAGCAGTCTTGGACGCCATTTTGACTCCCTTAGTGCTGGTTACCACGCACGTACTCAGAGTCCCTAGCTCAACTTTACAAGCCAGATAAGTTGAGTAAACGTTTCCCCCATTCATTACTATTACATTTACTTTAATTAAATACATTGCTTCTTCAAATATATTCCCGTATCAGTTCTTTTGATTTGTGTTTTGTTATCAGTACTTACACGTTAGGTAAAGTACTGGTTAAGCAGGTACCAGAGCACACCAAGTTAAGTAGGGTTGATCAAACGTTACGGAGTTGTAACACGCACTCCTACAAGTCTATGAGTATGAAAATACTTAACTACTACTGTGAATCTCCTGGTTTAGTGATCACACCGCTATATGACCAGCAGAATTCCGTCAACACTCAGGAATAGACAAAATTAAGTTGGTTGCTACTCTCCAATGAACAATCAATGTATTCAATCAAGTTCCATAGAACCTAGATTGAAACCCGGATAGCTCAGTGATAACGCCGCTAACTACAGCACTGAACAGTGCGGGTTCGAATCTAGTATGGGAACATCGATTTCGTCGAGGTCGAAGATACGTCTTAGTGACTAGCGCTAACAAGCACGAAACCTAGGTTCAGGGTTTCCTTCTGATTGCCTCCAGCCAACTAAAATCTACTGTCAACGATGTAAATTAATCATCTGAATTCAATGATAACGTAACTTCTAATAATACCATTGTGTAATGGGATGTTAGCACTCTCTGGTCAGCTTTTCTAGTACAGTGGGACATCAAGAAGTAAACCTTCCACATAGTACTTGATACACTAGGTTCTTGAGATAGGTAGCCCATGACATTGTGTCAAGTGGTAAAGTTCCATTAGGGGAAAAATGAACCTGACAGACAAAACACTCGAGTTCTGTATGCTTTGCAACTTCCAGATAAGTAAGGAAGTCATCTTCCCGTGATACTACCGATTTGTCTAGACTGAAGAATGTGGGAATTCTGAAAGATCACTTCGAAACACTATAATGTTTAAACCTCATTCAAAACAGATGCTCACGTGACAATGAGAACCCTCAGACTACACAGATCATTAACGGTCTACAGAGCTGGAGAAATGACTAAATTAGTTACCGCAATCAAACTAGTTCAATATTACCGTATCTGGGTTTATGTTTTAAATTAATAGAATTTCCAAACCCGAAAATGCCAGCTTAGTTAGTCAAAAGAGTCAATAAGTAAAATAAATGTATGATGCCTGTCAATATCCGCATAAATATACAAAAATCATTAGAAGTGAAGACAGTATGTACAAAGGCATGGTAAATACTCTCTCTTCTGATCACTTAAGAAGATATTTGCGCAAGGAGTATCGCTGAATGCAAAACTATGTCACACAGATTTAAGTGAATGATCACGAAAGGCCATACAAGTGACTGCTCTTTGATGTCCTTTGTATTCGACCGGAACTTCATTTGTCTCCAAATTCCATAAGCGAGCAACTCCATCTGATGTTGCAGTAAGCAAGAAACGAGAATCTGCAGAAAACGCACAGTCCCATACCCAGTGATGACCAGATACACTACCTTTTCGGCTTGTAACTAAACTGAAGTCGGCTGTCTTTAAAATATTAAACTTCCCATCACCACCTCCAGTAGCTATCAGTGTGCTATCTGGAGAAAACTGCACTTTGATAGCATATGTCGGATGCACTTTCTGTCGATTCTGTAGGGAAATAAATACATCAAGCTTAAAATCTTTGAAAATATAATAGGCGATTTTACGGCACATAATTAGAAAATCAAATGGGAATTCAAAACGATAATTACCTGCTAAAAACATTTTTACTTTCTCAGCTTTAGTAAATACTCGGCCTGAGAAACAACGCTCTCATCAGTAATTTTTGGTTTTACGAACTGAAATGATGAAATTGTGATTGGATATGGACATTCTTTTTTAAAGAAGTCTAGATATTGCTTTTCATCACATAGTCATGTTATTGAAGACTAGTAATAACTGCTACCATCACAATATCGAAATGTAATATGAAGTGGTATAGAAGTCTATATAAAAGGAGTTGAAACTCAAACACGAACTGATCATTTATCATAAAATAAAAAACGAGAAATCCTAGGTTCTTGTAACAATTTACACCTGCTAACCAAGTAGCTTTCGCAGTTCGACAACCTAGTGAATATAGTTTCAATGTTTGAAGCCAAGGATTCTGGATTTGAGTTTTGGTTGGTATATGAATTCATTTTTTAGTCTCAAATTAGGAGGAAACGCTTGTCCTGGACTTCGATGCTAGGCAATAATGTATTCACATTGACAAAATTCGAAACTGATCTCAAAGTACTATATCAGTGTCGACGAAATCGTCATAATTGCCGAACTATAATAATGCAACTACCCATTATTGACCAGATAAGTCTCATATACATAAACTTACCTCAACAGAATTGATTTCCTTCTGCAAAGCCATGTCAAATATGAGAAGCTGCATGCTATTGGAAGTCATTGTTCAGGAAGTCCTTAATTTTCCATTGTTCAGTGAAGTATGTGTGATGAAACCATAAGATAGCTAAATGGCACAGGAATACTCGGTTTGAAATGCTAGGTATCACGCAACTATACCTCTGATTAGTACAAAACTTAGTGATGCAAATTCCAAACTAGGTCTTTAATTCCTAATAAACTAATGTACTCTCCTAAATCCTGGGAAGGATGGAGTTTTCTGAATGTATGTGGGAAACCAAAATAAAGACAACTCGTAAATTGTATGCTTCAAACCCGCCAATTACGAAGGACGAACAACAGATTTATTTCCGATTGTAAGTAGTTAAGCGCGAAATATTTTTCACAGCTGTTGAAAACGTTTACAAACCCGCATAATGGTTATGTTGAAGAAGTGGAGTTTTTCTGAAACCCGTTAAGCTGTTCTCTACTGTTTGCTCGGCTAAATAATCTGTATTGTATTTACAGGAGCATAATGATCGAATAATGCAAACTTCAGAATCAATCTTTCATAACTTATGTTTTGACCAACTAGAAGACAACACTGATAAGTTTGTAGTCTACCTTCCTGGCACCAAAATACAACGAGGGCTAAAATAAATAGATTAAATTAACTAAATAAACCTCTAGGTCGCTTCCGGATGCTTTACGTGTTTTAAGTTTTGTTTTAACGAGCATGCATCTGAGCAGTCTTGGACGCCATTTTGACTCCCTTAGTGCTGGTTACCACGCACGTACTCAGAGTCCCTAGCTCAACTTTACAAGCCAGATAAGTTGAGTAAACGTTTCCCCCATTCATTACTATTACATTTACTTTAATTAAATACATTGCTTCTTCAAATATATTCCCGTATCAGTTCTTTTGATTTGTGTTTTGTTATCAGTACTTACACGTTAGGTAAAGTACTGGTTAAGCAGGTACCAGAGCACACCAAGTTAAGTAGGGTTGATCAAACGTTACGGAGTTGTAACACGCACTCCTACAAGTCTATGAGTATGAAAATACTTAACTACTACTGTGAATCTCCTGGTTTAGTGATCACACCGCTATATGACCAGCAGAATTCCGTCAACACTCAGGAATAGACAAAATTAAGTTGGTTGCTACTCTCCAATGAACAATCAATGTATTCAATCAAGTTCCATAGAACCTAGATTGAAACCCGGATAGCTCAGTGATAACGCCGCTAACTACAGCACTGAACAGTGCGGGTTCGAATCTAGTATGGGAACATCGATTTCGTCGAGGTCGAAGATACGTCTTAGTGACTAGCGCTAACAAGCACGAAACCTAGGTTCAGGGTTTCCTTCTGATTGCCTCCAGCCAACTAAAATCTACTGTCAACGATGTAAATTAATCATCTGAATTCAATGATAACGTAACTTCTAATAATACCATTGTGTAATGGGATGTTAGCACTCTCTGGTCAGCTTTTCTAGTACAGTGGGACATCAAGAAGTAAACCTTCCACATAGTACTTGATACACTAGGTTCTTGAGATAGGTAGCCCATGACATTGTGTCAAGTGGTAAAGTTCCATTAGGGGAAAAATGAACCTGACAGACAAAACACTCGAGTTCTGTATGCTTTGCAACTTCCAGATAAGTAAGGAAGTCATCTTCCCGTGATACTACCGATTTGTCTAGACTGAAGAATGTGGGAATTCTGAAAGATCACTTCGAAACACTATAATGTTTAAACCTCATTCAAAACAGATGCTCACGTGACAATGAGAACCCTCAGACTACACAGATCATTAACGGTCTACAGAGCTGGAGAAATGACTAAATTAGTTACCGCAATCAAACTAGTTCAATATTACCGTATCTGGGTTTATGTTTTAAATTAATAGAATTTCCAAACCCGAAAATGCCAGCTTAGTTAGTCAAAAGAGTCAATAAGTAAAATAAATGTATGATGCCTGTCAATATCCGCATAAATATACAAAAATCATTAGAAGTGAAGACAGTATGTACAAAGGCATGGTAAATACTCTCTCTTCTGATCACTTAAGAAGATATTTGCGCAAGGAGTATCGCTGAATGCAAAACTATGTCACACAGATTTAAGTGAATGATCACGAAAGGCCATACAAGTGACTGCTCTTTGATGTCCTTTGTATTCGACCGGAACTTCATTTGTCTCCAAATTCCATAAGCGAGCAACTCCATCTGATGTTGCAGTAAGCAAGAAACGAGAATCTGCAGAAAACGCACAGTCCCATACCCAGTGATGACCAGATACACTACCTTTTCGGCTTGTAACTAAACTGAAGTCGGCTGTCTTTAAAATATTAAACTTCCCATCACCACCTCCAGTAGCTATCAGTGTGCTATCTGGAGAAAACTGCACTTTGATAGCATATGTCGGATGCACTTTCTGTCGATTCTGTAGGGAAATAAATACATCAAGCTTAAAATCTTTGAAAATATAATAGGCGATTTTACGGCACATAATTAGAAAATCAAATGGGAATTCAAAACGATAATTACCTGCTAAAAACATTTTTACTTTCTCAGCTTTAGTAAATACTCGGCCTGAGAAACAACGCTCTCATCAGTAATTTTTGGTTTTACGAACTGAAATGATGAAATTGTGATTGGATATGGACATTCTTTTTTAAAGAAGTCTAGATATTGCTTTTCATCACATAGTCATGTTATTGAAGACTAGTAATAACTGCTACCATCACAATATCGAAATGTAATATGAAGTGGTATAGAAGTCTATATAAAAGGAGTTGAAACTCAAACACGAACTGATCATTTATCATAAAATAAAAAACGAGAAATCCTAGGTTCTTGTAACAATTTACACCTGCTAACCAAGTAGCTTTCGCAGTTCGACAACCTAGTGAATATAGTTTCAATGTTTGAAGCCAAGGATTCTGGATTTGAGTTTTGGTTGGTATATGAATTCATTTTTTAGTCTCAAATTAGGAGGAAACGCTTGTCCTGGACTTCGATGCTAGGCAATAATGTATTCACATTGACAAAATTCGAAACTGATCTCAAAGTACTATATCAGTGTCGACGAAATCGTCATAATTGCCGAACTATAATAATGCAACTACCCATTATTGACCAGATAAGTCTCATATACATAAACTTACCTCAACAGAATTGATTTCCTTCTGCAAAGCCATGTCAAATATGAGAAGCTGCATGCTATTGGAAGTCATTGTTCAGGAAGTCCTTAATTTTCCATTGTTCAGTGAAGTATGTGTGATGAAACCATAAGATAGCTAAATGGCACAGGAATACTCGGTTTGAAATGCTAGGTATCACGCAACTATACCTCTGATTAGTACAAAACTTAGTGATGCAAATTCCAAACTAGGTCTTTAATTCCTAATAAACTAATGTACTCTCCTAAATCCTGGGAAGGATGGAGTTTTCTGAATGTATGTGGGAAACCAAAATAAAGACAACTCGTAAATTGTATGCTTCAAACCCGCCAATTACGAAGGACGAACAACAGATTTATTTCCGATTGTAAGTAGTTAAGCGCGAAATATTTTTCACAGCTGTTGAAAACGTTTACAAACCCGCATAATGGTTATGTTGAAGAAGTGGAGTTTTTCTGAAACCCGTTAAGCTGTTCTCTACTGTTTGCTCGGCTAAATAATCTGTATTGTATTTACAGGAGCATAATGATCGAATAATGCAAACTTCAGAATCAATCTTTCATAACTTATGTTTTGACCAACTAGAAGACAACACTGATAAGTTTGTAGTCTACCTTCCTGGCACCAAAATACAACGAGGGCTAAAATAAATAGATTAAATTAACTAAATAAACCTCTAGGTCGCTTCCGGATGCTTTACGTGTTTTAAGTTTTGTTTTAACGAGCATGCATCTGAGCAGTCTTGGACGCCATTTTGACTCCCTTAGTGCTGGTTACCACGCACGTACTCAGAGTCCCTAGCTCAACTTTACAAGCCAGATAAGTTGAGTAAACGTTTCCCCCATTCATTACTATTACATTTACTTTAATTAAATACATTGCTTCTTCAAATATATTCCCGTATCAGTTCTTTTGATTTGTGTTTTGTTATCAGTACTTACACGTTAGGTAAAGTACTGGTTAAGCAGGTACCAGAGCACACCAAGTTAAGTAGGGTTGATCAAACGTTACGGAGTTGTAACACGCACTCCTACAAGTCTATGAGTATGAAAATACTTAACTACTACTGTGAATCTCCTGGTTTAGTGATCACACCGCTATATGACCAGCAGAATTCCGTCAACACTCAGGAATAGACAAAATTAAGTTGGTTGCTACTCTCCAATGAACAATCAATGTATTCAATCAAGTTCCATAGAACCTAGATTGAAACCCGGATAGCTCAGTGATAACGCCGCTAACTACAGCACTGAACAGTGCGGGTTCGAATCTAGTATGGGAACATCGATTTCGTCGAGGTCGAAGATACGTCTTAGTGACTAGCGCTAACAAGCACGAAACCTAGGTTCAGGGTTTCCTTCTGATTGCCTCCAGCCAACTAAAATCTACTGTCAACGATGTAAATTAATCATCTGAATTCAATGATAACGTAACTTCTAATAATACCATTGTGTAATGGGATGTTAGCACTCTCTGGTCAGCTTTTCTAGTACAGTGGGACATCAAGAAGTAAACCTTCCACATAGTACTTGATACACTAGGTTCTTGAGATAGGTAGCCCATGACATTGTGTCAAGTGGTAAAGTTCCATTAGGGGAAAAATGAACCTGACAGACAAAACACTCGAGTTCTGTATGCTTTGCAACTTCCAGATAAGTAAGGAAGTCATCTTCCCGTGATACTACCGATTTGTCTAGACTGAAGAATGTGGGAATTCTGAAAGATCACTTCGAAACACTATAATGTTTAAACCTCATTCAAAACAGATGCTCACGTGACAATGAGAACCCTCAGACTACACAGATCATTAACGGTCTACAGAGCTGGAGAAATGACTAAATTAGTTACCGCAATCAAACTAGTTCAATATTACCGTATCTGGGTTTATGTTTTAAATTAATAGAATTTCCAAACCCGAAAATGCCAGCTTAGTTAGTCAAAAGAGTCAATAAGTAAAATAAATGTATGATGCCTGTCAATATCCGCATAAATATACAAAAATCATTAGAAGTGAAGACAGTATGTACAAAGGCATGGTAAATACTCTCTCTTCTGATCACTTAAGAAGATATTTGCGCAAGGAGTATCGCTGAATGCAAAACTATGTCACACAGATTTAAGTGAATGATCACGAAAGGCCATACAAGTGACTGCTCTTTGATGTCCTTTGTATTCGACCGGAACTTCATTTGTCTCCAAATTCCATAAGCGAGCAACTCCATCTGATGTTGCAGTAAGCAAGAAACGAGAATCTGCAGAAAACGCACAGTCCCATACCCAGTGATGACCAGATACACTACCTTTTCGGCTTGTAACTAAACTGAAGTCGGCTGTCTTTAAAATATTAAACTTCCCATCACCACCTCCAGTAGCTATCAGTGTGCTATCTGGAGAAAACTGCACTTTGATAGCATATGTCGGATGCACTTTCTGTCGATTCTGTAGGGAAATAAATACATCAAGCTTAAAATCTTTGAAAATATAATAGGCGATTTTACGGCACATAATTAGAAAATCAAATGGGAATTCAAAACGATAATTACCTGCTAAAAACATTTTTACTTTCTCAGCTTTAGTAAATACTCGGCCTGAGAAACAACGCTCTCATCAGTAATTTTTGGTTTTACGAACTGAAATGATGAAATTGTGATTGGATATGGACATTCTTTTTTAAAGAAGTCTAGATATTGCTTTTCATCACATAGTCATGTTATTGAAGACTAGTAATAACTGCTACCATCACAATATCGAAATGTAATATGAAGTGGTATAGAAGTCTATATAAAAGGAGTTGAAACTCAAACACGAACTGATCATTTATCATAAAATAAAAAACGAGAAATCCTAGGTTCTTGTAACAATTTACACCTGCTAACCAAGTAGCTTTCGCAGTTCGACAACCTAGTGAATATAGTTTCAATGTTTGAAGCCAAGGATTCTGGATTTGAGTTTTGGTTGGTATATGAATTCATTTTTTAGTCTCAAATTAGGAGGAAACGCTTGTCCTGGACTTCGATGCTAGGCAATAATGTATTCACATTGACAAAATTCGAAACTGATCTCAAAGTACTATATCAGTGTCGACGAAATCGTCATAATTGCCGAACTATAATAATGCAACTACCCATTATTGACCAGATAAGTCTCATATACATAAACTTACCTCAACAGAATTGATTTCCTTCTGCAAAGCCATGTCAAATATGAGAAGCTGCATGCTATTGGAAGTCATTGTTCAGGAAGTCCTTAATTTTCCATTGTTCAGTGAAGTATGTGTGATGAAACCATAAGATAGCTAAATGGCACAGGAATACTCGGTTTGAAATGCTAGGTATCACGCAACTATACCTCTGATTAGTACAAAACTTAGTGATGCAAATTCCAAACTAGGTCTTTAATTCCTAATAAACTAATGTACTCTCCTAAATCCTGGGAAGGATGGAGTTTTCTGAATGTATGTGGGAAACCAAAATAAAGACAACTCGTAAATTGTATGCTTCAAACCCGCCAATTACGAAGGACGAACAACAGATTTATTTCCGATTGTAAGTAGTTAAGCGCGAAATATTTTTCACAGCTGTTGAAAACGTTTACAAACCCGCATAATGGTTATGTTGAAGAAGTGGAGTTTTTCTGAAACCCGTTAAGCTGTTCTCTACTGTTTGCTCGGCTAAATAATCTGTATTGTATTTACAGGAGCATAATGATCGAATAATGCAAACTTCAGAATCAATCTTTCATAACTTATGTTTTGACCAACTAGAAGACAACACTGATAAGTTTGTAGTCTACCTTCCTGGCACCAAAATACAACGAGGGCTAAAATAAATAGATTAAATTAACTAAATAAACCTCTAGGTCGCTTCCGGATGCTTTACGTGTTTTAAGTTTTGTTTTAACGAGCATGCATCTGAGCAGTCTTGGACGCCATTTTGACTCCCTTAGTGCTGGTTACCACGCACGTACTCAGAGTCCCTAGCTCAACTTTACAAGCCAGATAAGTTGAGTAAACGTTTCCCCCATTCATTACTATTACATTTACTTTAATTAAATACATTGCTTCTTCAAATATATTCCCGTATCAGTTCTTTTGATTTGTGTTTTGTTATCAGTACTTACACGTTAGGTAAAGTACTGGTTAAGCAGGTACCAGAGCACACCAAGTTAAGTAGGGTTGATCAAACGTTACGGAGTTGTAACACGCACTCCTACAAGTCTATGAGTATGAAAATACTTAACTACTACTGTGAATCTCCTGGTTTAGTGATCACACCGCTATATGACCAGCAGAATTCCGTCAACACTCAGGAATAGACAAAATTAAGTTGGTTGCTACTCTCCAATGAACAATCAATGTATTCAATCAAGTTCCATAGAACCTAGATTGAAACCCGGATAGCTCAGTGATAACGCCGCTAACTACAGCACTGAACAGTGCGGGTTCGAATCTAGTATGGGAACATCGATTTCGTCGAGGTCGAAGATACGTCTTAGTGACTAGCGCTAACAAGCACGAAACCTAGGTTCAGGGTTTCCTTCTGATTGCCTCCAGCCAACTAAAATCTACTGTCAACGATGTAAATTAATCATCTGAATTCAATGATAACGTAACTTCTAATAATACCATTGTGTAATGGGATGTTAGCACTCTCTGGTCAGCTTTTCTAGTACAGTGGGACATCAAGAAGTAAACCTTCCACATAGTACTTGATACACTAGGTTCTTGAGATAGGTAGCCCATGACATTGTGTCAAGTGGTAAAGTTCCATTAGGGGAAAAATGAACCTGACAGACAAAACACTCGAGTTCTGTATGCTTTGCAACTTCCAGATAAGTAAGGAAGTCATCTTCCCGTGATACTACCGATTTGTCTAGACTGAAGAATGTGGGAATTCTGAAAGATCACTTCGAAACACTATAATGTTTAAACCTCATTCAAAACAGATGCTCACGTGACAATGAGAACCCTCAGACTACACAGATCATTAACGGTCTACAGAGCTGGAGAAATGACTAAATTAGTTACCGCAATCAAACTAGTTCAATATTACCGTATCTGGGTTTATGTTTTAAATTAATAGAATTTCTACATTGGATATGTAACCTGCATGAAATGTTTGCCGTAAAAACGTACCTTTTCCATAGGTTTCCAGGCAGTATCAGCACTGAGAGACCAAACAATAAGCTGACCGTCGGAGTTGACTGCAGCTAAAGAAGTTACTTCTTGATCAAGAGACAAACTATGAATTGGTTGATTTTGTGAATCGGTATATATTGAGTTGGCTGCATTGTTACGCAGGTCCCAGACTATAACTTCCCCTTTGTTCGTCCCCATAATAATCTCATGCTGATTGCGATGAAGCAACATAGTATTAATACTAGAAGAAGTCTACACACGGAGAAGGAGAAAAACTATGAATGGCTGGAAAACCTTTTGGTGTTTGGTAGACGTCAAAGTAACTTCTACACAATCCCGGTGATAAAACCAGGAAAAGGTAGAAACATAAAGCAAGTGATGTATTTAAACATGGACTTTGAAAATTGAAATAAAGTACGGCTCATTCAGTTAAGACTAGGTATCAAGGAGATTGTTAGGTTTCTTTCACGTCTGAAAATCAAATTCGTCTTGGTAGAACAGTTAGACAGCCATGGCACCGAGTTGTTTTAAAATCAGTGGAGAATATTTGTAGCCCAGATGGATGGTCTAGGTTGTATTGCGTTCTCCGAGCTGGGTTGTTTAACTTCAGTATACTCAAGTTAGTGCTGATGATGTCGTCTAGAAAGACGATGAGAGCTTCAGGATTAAACAACCCAGCTCAGAGAACACAATACAATCGATAGTCTTAAAATCAATTCTACTTAGTATGATTTACTCGTAAATATAATAACTGACTAAAGAAAAAAACAAATAAGAGCTGGCTAATACACATAGATCGAGTCTACTAGTACCTCCTGGTAATCGTCGCAAGAGGGCTGAAAACGAGTTGATGTTCGTTAATACACATTACTCGTCACGACTTTCGAGTGCGAGTTTATCACATCACATTTATCTGGATCGTGAAATTGTTCTACATCAGTAGCTTAAATCCAATGAATAATTCCTATCTGAAAAATTTCTTGATACTCACAGGTAAGCAAAACAATGTCGGATTCGACTACATTTTAGACAGTTATAAGTTGTCGTACTTCACATCAACACAGCGGATGAAAGAAAAAAAAGAATAACATCAACAACAGTAGGGAACGGAAAAAATGGTACAAACTTCCCCTAATGTGTAAGAGGAAAAGATTAGAATGATGTCAGAGAATGAGAATATAAAGTATGTATATCTCAGCTAATAAGAATGATTTTAAACGATATCTGCTGGTTTGTAACCGTTAATCCCAGCAGCTTTAAGCACACTAAGAATTCCGTGGGTTCAAACCAACAGAAATTGATACTGAATACCGAAAAAAGCATCAATCCAAGCTATCACACTGCAACAGAATAGAAAAAGGAAGTGGACCGAAGTAATAATATTAAAACAAATGAAAAAGATGAGGAAAGACAGGATAAATAAAATGTTCAGTTTTTGGAAAATGATGAAAAGGAAAGCTCACATTGTCGCCACACTATGATTGGTCCTGACTATGTAGTTAAATGTCTCCAACTACTGATTCCTGAAATGTTGAGGACTCCAGTTAGGTAGCCTAAACCCCTCTGTACGGTTCAGTTAAAGTCAAACCTCATTCAGTGGTGCTACGTCATGACACAAACATTCCTAATGTTAGTACAACTGATCAACCACATGGAAACGTATACGCTAAACAGTGGAACTAACACTAATGTGTGAGCAGGAGCTAATGATAACAACTGACGAGACCTCAGCACGGAGAGCAGGATTCAGACCTGTGGTCATCTCGAATATTTCACAAGTCCAAACCAATAATACATAACACTTCTCACCGAGAAAGACAGTGGGTCCGTATGTGTGAAATACACCCAAGCCAATCAGATAAGTGAAGGCTTACGACTTGATTGAGGTGTGCAGTGGCTAGGCTCTGGCTCACTGATTAAGCCATTGGATTTGAAGTGCTTTGGATTCGAATTACTTTCCATCTACCAAGGCTTTAAAAGTCAGATGGTATCATTACCCCTCTCTAACCAATAGGTGCAGCTAGTTTCATAGTGCAGAACACTTCATGCTATCGCTCAGAAATGTTCATATATTAACCTACTAAACCAAGTGTACAACGAGTAACGAAACCAATTACTGTGCATTCTCTAGGAAGCAACCAACACCAGTTATCCTCAACACATACGAATGACGTTTTGAAATTTGTGGCAGTCCATTTCATCTTGTTATACAGCTGTGAGACTGCCTCTGAAAGTAGATGTGAAGCGGTTACACGTTTTTGATCATAAGTGTCTTCGCAGCATTTCTCGCGATTGGTTGAGTAATGTCAAGGTCAGGTGAAGGGTACTGAACAAGACATGCAGGTTAGTCGGTGAGGTTGTGAACCTTCACCGACTGAAGTGGCTTGGGCATTTGCTGTGCATAAGGAGCCACTGAACACCTCGACGTGCAGTACTAAGAGTTGGAATATGTTGAAAGAATAGGGTTCAGGGTGATCAGACTAAGACGTTGCACCAGTGCAGGAAGTTTTTGACTGTCTGTCTGAACCGTGTAGGGAGTTGTAGACCACCTGGTTGTGGCCATCGAGAGGATTGGAATCAGTGATTGGAGACGCTTGGTGACATCTGGAAATCGGTTACATTGGCGCAGACGTACTCATTTATTGGTGTCTTCTAAAGCCTGAATGCTGGGACTTCCCTTTATCTTCAGATTGTTTATTCTCCCACACTACTATATCTCCTTTAATATCACTCTTTTTCCGCGCACCTGTTTTTTGTGTGCTACTGTAAAGTATGGTAACTCTAACCGATGCACTTGTGCGCGGTCCTTTGTTGATCTTGTCTGTCCGGTAGTTTTACGTACTACAGGCTATTCGCAATCACTTGTTAATAATTAACGTTTACCCTCCTTCATTTCCACAATAATTACTCTCAATATTTCTTCACTTGGTGTAGGAACGTCTAAACTTTAAAATCCCCAACTTTTGCTTTGTTCAGCTGAAGGTTTATTGTTTTCAATCAAATAGAATGTAACTGCTCCTTAGTGCTCACAGTGAATAGTATGAAGTAAATTGCATTTAACAATATATCAATAACCTCTACACTGAGCTGTTACCTGATAAATACGAGTTATCCATAAGTTCCCACCAGCTCGCCAATCGATGATCTTTGCTACACGATCCTCTGCACCTGCAAACATCCAGTTTCCCGTATCATTAAACCCTACAGTATTCACATTTTTCGTAAAGTCCGAGACCATAACAAAAGGTGTTCCAGGACCTTGAACATCATAAACACGAACTCGTCCATAACCACCAGCAGCCAGATACTGTCCATCACGAGAAAAAGCTAAGGTATTCACCTAAAATCCTTTCCTTAAGTAGAACCGGCTGACTAACCTGGGACTCACTATGCTGAAAACCTTGAATATACTTCCCCGTGCTTGGTTGCCACATTCGTATTGTATGATCGAAACCTCCAGTTGCCAAAGACAGATTACTGTCATAATCATTATTCATTATTTAATTCCTTTATGAAATAATTAAGAGTCAAAAAATAGGTGGAATAACCGAAGATTACGAAAAAAATCGAGCTACGTTAATTTTAACAACAAAAAAAAGTGGAAATTCTTGAGCCTGCTAAAAACGTTTTGATCAAACACCGTTAAGGTTTACCTGAGAAACATAAGAAAATCCCACATATTACCAACACATCTTATCAAGAAATGAATTTATGTTAAGAGAATAACAGTACAGTGCTGATTTTTAATTCTTATTTTCGAACATACTACCTCTACAACTGCCAAAACAAAGTGCGAGATATCCAACCTACTACTTATATGAAGTTACTCATGAAAAATACAAACTGTTTTGAAAGAGCTGGCCGATCTTCTTTTGATCTACCATCACTTTCTTTGAGTAAGACTTAGCAACATCTTTAACCACTTGAGAAACAGAAACCTGAATGTTGAATTCGCACTAATTGCAAATAGGGAAAACTTAGTTCTTCAACTAAATCAGTGAGTGTTATATATTTCGAACGGATATAATACGCATGTTTTACTGACAGCCAACTTCTCGTACGCAAGAACCACCGACTGCAAACCGGGACGAACAGAGGAGGTCGAAGCTGAATGGGAGAGTTTATTCCTCCGAGAATAATAATAATTAATTGATTAATTCAAAACACGTATGTATACGCATGAAATATGACCTTATCTGCAAATTAAAGCATTAACATAGTAAGAGTAAGAATTAATCAATCAGCGAATTACATTACAATGGGGGCAGAAAATAAACTACTAGACATGCTGTAAAAATTGTTTGAGAATGACAAGTTAAAAATGTTCAGATCCATAACAATGTTTATGCAAAACTGGGGTCTCAACAGAACGTGAACTGTTTTCTATTCATCAATGAAACTTGAGTGATAAGTTAGTGTTTGATAAGACTTGATGAAAGATGAGTCGGCGACTCTTTGCAGCGGAGACATCTGGTACAATAAATGGGACACTTCAAGTGGTCCCCGACTACTCTTCAGTTGTCTGCTATCGGGCCACACTTTGGATGGAACACTGAGATAGGACTTCCAGCTACTGCAAGTTGAGGCTGTGAATAATCTGAATGGAGAATGTCTTGATTGAGTTGTGTCAGAGATATTTAAGGACGATGTTCGATGATTATGAATAAGGTTAACTGAAGAGATGGCTGGTATGTAAGAATCAGACATAATCCCCTCTGGCTGTTCTCAATCGCTGGCTTTCTCAACTTGTATGAGGAGAAAAATCCTCATGTGATAATCACGGGGAAGTCATTTTGACATGTTTGAGATTCCGAATTCTACAACCCTGAAAATCTTAAGTGAATCTTAGAAATGGCGAACCCGACAGAACTAGATAGGTTTAAGATCTGACCATTGGTTTATCGACCAAATTTTTGCGCTCCGTCTGGCGCCGACACTAGCATTTCTTTACCTGAAGGTGGGAATCGATAAGGTTGATCGAGGAGCTTCAAGTGAATGTCTGTCATTAAGTGTTGGGTAAGTACATTGCTCTACTAAAAATTGCATTCGAACACCTGTGGGCTTGTTAGAGTATGGTGAGATAATGGGCTGACTTGCATACACCGAGTGGTATCCGTTAAGCATGTTCAGTTCGTATTTGATTTTGTCATAAACATGTCTACGGAGGTTTTCCTTTTCCTCTGACTACAAAGAGACTGGACCAGTCGCAGAAGACTTCCTAGCTGATTTAGAATACACAGATGACAGTCGTTTTACGTGAAGACGCTAAAAAGGTAATCTGCACACGTTGACAATGTTTGAGATGTGTTTATCATCACCCGAATGAAAATTCCGCTGGTCTGAGTTGATACCTCGTCTGACAATCCGGAGTGAAGCAACTGGGATGCTAACCTACTCTTTAGCTTGGGAAGTTGGACCAGGTCTGATGGGCCAGTGACCGACTAAATCTCTGCACACACACACACACACACACACACACACACACACACACACACACACACACACACACACACACACACACAAAGCCGTATTGGCTTTCAGCAACTAATGCTGGTGATATCCAACTACATACTGTGGGTCTATAGGACTGCGCAGCAGTTCGCTTTGGCACACTATATGAATGTGAAATACGGCCATTAAAGATGGACATGAGGACTTAGGCGTTCAAACACCGTTGGTTTCTTAGTCATCGCCGTGCCAAGGAACTAGCTTGTCAGTAATGCTGAGGTTGGGCATATAGTCTGAAGTAAAAGAGTTAAGTCAGTTGATCAGTCAGTTTTATCAACTCAAGCGGCTGGAAAATGTTATGCATACCGTCACCGTCATCCCTACAGTGCAATGCTAACCGAAGTAGATATAGGCTGAAAAACGTAGAAAGCAGATACATTAAAATGTGGCATCAATTCAGAAGCCTCGATTGTTGATCTGAGTCGTACTGAGAAATGCAGACTTTTCGGTCCTCAACAATATCGATACCTGTGTTTGAAAACTCTAAGTGATATGGTTTAGAATCGACCTCAGTGCTGCAGATGTATCCACACATTTTCATCCAAATCATCATATCGCACTTCGTTATTGTTTACTTGTCTTCCCTTACAACTTCTGATTATGCTTTTTCTCCCCATTTCTGTATCCTCATGTTGATGCGCTTTAGTGACGTGCGTCAAGTGGGATCCCTATGTAGTATTGACGAGCCCTATGCTGATACTGACTGGCAAGCAACAAATTGACTTAAGGGCCCTCACTATTCAATTTGCAGTATGGACCACCTAAAACTCCGCAGTATCAGACGATGTTAGATATCGGACATCCTCCATCTGAAAACTGTATTGTCATCTAATCTACAGAACCACGCATGTAGCTGCAGCAAGATTCTAGAAATCTCCAAGAGGACGATTCACCATTTTCTTCATGGATTGGGGAAGTGAACGCCCCTGGTTGATGAATAAAAATAATGACAACTCGGTGATACTGATAGCTAATTATTTTTATCCCAATGCTCCCTCAATTAAAAAACAACAAAGATTTGTAGGCTAATTCCTTCAAGTAAACCATTTACGAGTACATGATGAACGAATTTCAAGACTACTTGTGTAATGAATTAAAGTTGATTCGACTGCTAGATAAAACGAGAGACAAGACGAAACCAACATGTGACCTGATGTTACTGCGTCAACACCCGAATTACCAAAACTCATACCGATAAACAAAATTAACAGAGGACCGCGCACAAGTGCATCGGTTAGAGTTACCATACTTTACAGTAGCACACAAAAAACAGGTGCGCGGAAAAAGAGTGATATTAAAGGAGATATAGTAGTGTGGGAGAATAAACAATCTGAAGATAAAGGGAAGTCCCAGCATTCAGGCTTTAGAAGACACCAATAAATGAGTACGTCTGCGCCAATGTAACCGATTTCCAGATGTCACCAAGCGTCTCCAATCACTGATTCCAATCCTCTCGATGGCCACAACCAGGTGGTCTACAACTCCCTACACGGTTCAGACAGACAGTCAAAAACTTCCTGCACTGGTGCAACGTCTTAGTCTGATCACCCTGAACCCTATTCTTTCAACATATTCCAACTCTTAGTACTGCACGTCGAGGTGTTCAGTGGCTCTTTATGCACAGCAAATGCCCAAGCCACTTCAGTCGGTGAAGGTTCACAACCTCACCGACTAACCTGCATGTCTTGTTCAGTACCCTTCACCTGACCTTGACATTACTCAACCAATCGCGAGAAATGCTGCGAAGACACTTATGATCAAAAACGTGTAACCGCTTCACATCTACTTTCAGAGGCAGTCTCACAGCTGTATAACATGACAAAATCAACTGCAGCGCAGTACAAGCGTCTCTCGATATATTGTTGGATATTTCGTCAGGTGACGCCAGAGATAACCCAAGTTGGCAAATGCCAAATGGGTCTTTTGTAGCCAAACTAAAATTTCGTAAGAAACCAACCTGTTTAGGCTGAGGCAACTGAGGTAGTAAGCGGGGTGGTCAACCCACTCCACTCCCCATCCTTAAACTAGGAGTTGTTGCAGATCAATCCTGGAGCATCATCTTACATTTGACAGATTCGAAAACGCATTTCTACTGAAAGCGTTCGGAGACCCTGAATTGCGTCATCATCTTCATCCAACCGAACAATAACATCTGCATACTCCAAGTTAACTAGGTTGTCTCCAAGGCGTAGATCAACCCATGTGTTGTCAGGGTTATGTCCACTACTACATCTGTGACGGGGTTAAGAAGTAACAGTAAAACCGGGCATATTCGCCGGAAACCACTGGTTACCGTAAACTCAGATGATAACTTCCCATAGGCCCTTATACGGCTGTATGAGTTTGGGTAGATAGCTTGGATTAGCGTCCTACTACTCCCACTAGTAGATACTGTCACACCTCACGGTCGACAGACTCGGATGCCGTTTCCGGGACTAGAAATATGACGCGTCGGCCGACGGTAAATATACTTGTTTTTTCAGAATCTTTTGAAGGGTGAAAATCGGATCGATTCACCCTCATTGAGGTCAAAAACCTGCCTGGTTCCCTCGAGTTAGTTCTTCAGTCCCACTTAGGCATCAGATAACTATGAAGGGTCTTGGATACGATGTTAGTCAGTGATTCCCCTATGGTTGTTACAAGAAGAATTCTTTCTTATAGTTTGGGATGATCAGTGGAGCAGACAAGTCTGAGGGGACTACCCCAAATTCCTAAAGCTACATAGTCCATTTATACTCTACTCTGTAATTGCCTACCTCCTTCTCTATAAGCTTCTGGTGCCAAACCATCACTTTTTGCTACTTTGCAATGTTTCAGGTTTGTGACAGCCTTATCAACTTCGAGGACAGTCAAAACAATCGCGATTCACTGTCGGTCACCCAACATTTGTACTTCTATAAAGTGACGCCCACAATACATACATATTAAATGTAGGAGACATACCTCTCGAATGCATTGTGACGTTTTTTTCTAGATCGCACTGTAAAAC